ACGACACTTACTAGCTGTGTGACCCTGGGCAAGTAACTTAACCCCATTGCCTAGCCAAAAAAATAAAGAAAGGAAGGAAGGAAGGAATAGAATACAAAGAAGAGTCAAGTAGATGCATGTACTTGAGTTGATACCTTCAAGCTGTGAAACTCGTATCCACTGCAGTAGGTAATCTTAATGGTGGAAAGGCAATTTTTCAGGTCAAATGCTTGCTTTTGTTTGTCTTTACTCTGCTTAAAAAAAAAATCTTTGTAGGTTAATTCCTTGAAGATATAAACAACAAAGGTAGCTTCATTTTTTTTTTTTTTTTTTGTTCCTTGAAATATCTGGTATCTCTACCAAGCCTAGCGTAGACAGGTTGGCTATCAGGTGGATGGAATAGTGGAATTAGAATGAGGAAGCCCTGGGGTCAGATCCAACTTCTAATAATTAGTAATTAATAATCACTTATCCTCTATGCTTCATTTTTCTCGTCTGTACAATTCAATTCAACAAGTATTTATTAACATCTTGTCATAAGCTAGAGAGAGAGGTAGCATCGCATAATAATGAATATTGAGTAGGCAGAAAGATATAGGTTCAAGTCCGGTCTCTGACATGTCCACATACTACCCTCTTGAATTTTTCCTTGAAAGGAACTACCCTGTTAAACAGTTCAGTTTTGCAATTTAACCAGGAAGGATGTGTCAAAAGAAAAATAATGTATGAGAGTCTTAAAGCCAACTTGACTGCATTCCAGATAGACATTCATCAATGATAATTTTTCAGCTTGTTTCTGTGTCTCAGCATGTGTGCTGCTGGCAGTGAATCTAAGCAGCCAGTGGGGGTGAAGGGAGTGAGTCACATTTATAATATTGGATAAAAATGGGAACAGGTTATCACCTCCTGTCACCAGCATCAATAGTGACTCCTCTATGAGGGCCTGCTCATATTTTCCAAACCCATGAAGATTAGTGACAAGAAAGATAATGAGTATTTTCTTTGACTCCAAAGAAGGGAGCCTTTTTGTACTTTCCATAGTCACCAAGCATCTTGGAGATTGTGTGTGTGTGTGTGTGTGTGTGTGATCCTGCAGCATTGGGCTCCATGCTTTTTGTTGATGTCTGAAACCATAGCAACCGAACTGTTGTGGAAACCAGTATATCAAATGAGAAAAGAAACCCAGTGAGACAATGGACTGTAGGAGTTGTGGGGGTGTAGGTACCAGTTGGCAAATCTTGGGTTCTGCAATTATTAGAGCTTCTGAGTACTTGGCAACCCTGAGATTCCATGCCAAGAGGTCTTGGTGAAGAAGGCATAAACTGTTCCCTTTCTCCAGTTATGTTAACTCTTTCATAGAATTAGGTGGCTATGGCACGGTAGTTACTACTGAGTGCTAGACTGGAGTCAGTGCATTCATATCCCACCTATGATCCTTACTAGCTATGTGACCCTCGACAAATCACTTAACTTCTCTGTGTCTCAGTTTCCTCATCTGTAAAATGAGGGAGTTGTTCTAGATGCTCTCTGAAGCCCTTTCCAGTTCTAAATCTAAGATCTTATAATCTTAGAATATATTTAGCTATGTTATCATGATGCTAAAAGTCCTTGGTCTTCCCACTGTACAGTGTTGTTCTGAGAAAAGGACTTAGAAAACCTCAAAGAAATTAGGAGTTCTTATGGTTCCCCTTTAATGGTGCCTTCTTGCCTACATTTCTTTCTGTTTTACTTTCCCTATAGAAGGAACTAATCAAATTGTTGCTTGGGATAATGAACTCCAAATGTGTATCACACTCCTCCAGCTCCCTCCCTTAATGTAATCTAGATCTTCATGTGGAATTGATAGACAGTGTGGGGTGGTGGGTAGGAAGCTGAATGTGGAGCTAGAGAACCTGGGTTTTTAATCCAGGCTTTTCCACTTATATTGCCTGAGTGACTTTGGACAAGTCACCTAACCTTGCTGAGTCTCCCTTTCTTTATTTGTAACAGAAAAAGATTCAATTCATCAGGCATTTATTGAATAACTAGTCTGTATAAGATGCTGTGTTAGGCCCCTGGGGATCCAGAGACAAAAGCAAAATTGTCCCTGCCCTCAAGGACCTTACATTCTATTTGAGAAACAACACACATGAAAATAAGTAGATGCTAAATAGATCTAAGTAATTACAAAGTGATTTTGAGGTATGTGGGGTAGGATATCAGGAAAGTTCTCCTTTGGGATGTAAGACCTGAGCTGATTTTTGAAGGAAGTTGGTAGGATGACCTCTAAGAGAACATTATATCTTGTAACAACAATATTGTTTTAAGAACAACATTGAGCAAATAAGTCATTTTGACTATTATAAATATCCAAATTAACTATAAAGGACATAAGAAGAAAGATACTATCTGCATTCAGAGAAAGAACTGATAAATAGAAGTTTGTATATAATAATTTTATACACACACACACACACACACACACGTATTTGTGTCTAATAGTAGCCATCTCTAAGATGGGTGGAGGAAGAGGGTAGAAAAAAAAAGAAAAGAAAGAAATATACACAATTATTTTATATTTAAAAGGAATAGCAAGTTGTACATAATAGATCTGCAGTTTCCTGTGCAATCTTTTTCATTATGGAAATGCTTATTTTATTCCATAAATTAAAAATAAATAAATAAAAACGATGGCCTCTAAGATGGCGTAGGGCTAGAGCACTATACTTGGAGACAGGAAGATGGTTTGCCCAATCATGCCTTAAACATTTATTAGCTATGGCCCCTAGGTGAGTCACTTAATGTCCTCGGTTTCCTCATCAGCAAAAAGGGCATAATAATAACACCTGCCTCACAAGTTGTTGTAAGAATCAAATGAGATAATATACACAAAATGCTTTGTAATCTTTAATGTGCTAAATTAATACTAGGTATTATTATTATTTGCAAAGCATTTGTTGGATGCCTATTATGTTATGTTATTATTATATATTATGTTATTATTATGTTATGTTATGAATACAAAGACAAGATGAAAAATTGTCCCTACCCTCAAGGAGCTTATATTCTGCCTAATATATGATCCTATCCTTCCCTGATAAAATGAGGTGTTAGACTAAATGACCCTTAGCATCCTTCCCAACTAAAAAACTCTATGATAATTAATCAGTTTTCAAAATAACCAGTTGTTATTTTGCTTTTTGTCCTTCCATTCCCACTTAGTGTTTATACAGCAGAGCACCTAAAACAAGTTAGCTATTTAAGCTGGTAGACAGGTTCATTTTTAATGAAAATAATGGAACAATTTTCGTCATTCAGCTTATTCCTTACTATAACCAGGAGAATTGGTGGTGCCATTACACATCTTTCTCTTCCCACTCCTCCAATTGTTCCCCCTTCTTTTAATCCCCAGAAGTCAGCTGTTCTTGCTCTTGACTACACTAGCCCTTTTACCCTCAACACAGAAGAAAAAGGATTTGGACCATGGCAACCTCTCTTTCAATAGTGGCCAGGCTCTGCTCTAGAAAATAAACATGCTACCAGTGTCTTGAATGAATACACTTCTGAACAGATTTAATGGAATACAATCAAGAACTCATTCAAACCCAGCTCACTTTCCCTGAAATAGAATTGCGTTTCTGGAATCCCTCTCTGAATTAGCTCATTAATTTTGCAATGCTTTGAAACAACCCAGTCCTAACAACAACTCACATAAGGACTCCCTATCATCAAATGAGTTATTGACGATGGTATATGCAGTTATAGATTTAGAAAGTTAAAGCATAACAGTATGGGAAGGAGGGGGCATCCCAAGGCAGGGGAAAGAGCTTTGTTCCTGGCTGGGCACCTTAATGCCTGGTATTTGGCATTGTTTCAATGCACAAAGCCCCATTTGGCATGCTCTCTCACCAATCCCATTTCTATAATCTCATTTAAATTTCACCTGCCACCTGTCTCCGTATAAAGAGGAAGAGCTGGAAGAAACACTTCAGCTGTTAGTCCTTTGTCCTGAACTGCTGGAGCTTTAATTAAAAGAAGAATTATATTAAATGACACTCACCACGCCTTTTTTGGAGAATGGCCATCTCGTCTTTTTGGGTTCTGGTAAATGAAATGAAAGAAAAGGTATTATTCTATAAACAAGTGATGGATTATCATGAGGCTTTCTGAAACCTTTCTTTTTAAATAATGAGCCAAACCAAAATTTCCCTGTTTTAATTCTACTTCTCTCTTAAGGGATCAAAATAAGAATTTATATTTGTTCAGATAATACCATGAAGCTTGGACTTAGAGTTAGGAAGACCTGGGTTCAAATGCCATTTCTGATACTACACAAGTGACTTTAACAATGACATTGAACAAGTCACTTGCTTAATGTCACTCATTCAGGCTTCTCTAAGTCTCAATTTCTTCCTTTCTAAAATAAGGGTGTTAGATTAGATATCCTGCAAGGTCCCTTCCAGATCTAAATCCATATTGCCATGATCTCAGTTCTGCCATTTACTATCTCTATGACCATGGACAAATCCTTTAACCTCTGTGGGCTTCAATTTTATCATCTGAAAATAAGGGAGTTGGATGAAATATCCTTTGTGGTCCCTATGGTCCAGCTATAAATCTATAATATTATAATCTTGGTTCTTCTACTTTCTTCCAAAATGGCTGTGGGCAAGACATTTAATCTCTCTGGGCTTCAATGTCACCATTCATAAAATAAATTGACCTCTAAGGTCTCTTCCAGCTTTAAATCTGTGATACCATGATCTTGTTCTGTCACTTACTATCTATATGACTATGGTCAAGTCATTTAACCTTTCTTTGTAGGCTCTTATAAATGAGGAGGCTAGACTTGATTCAGGTTCTTTCCATAATTAAATCTGTGATCTGTCAGATTCAGTAGGAATTAGGGTGACCTTATTAGAATATTATCATCCTTCATTCCGAGGAAATTCCATTTGTTCCATAAGGTATGGTACAACAACTTCAGTAACTGATTAAACACACAAAGTCTTAGATGGAAGGACCTTGTGAGGTCATCTGATCTGGCCCCCACTTAGATCTAAACCATCCCAATATATGTGATCTGATGGGTGTTGACAAATCTTGAGGCCCAAGAGATTATATAAATCAAGCTTCACTCTTAATTTGGAAGGAATATGGAAACAGTGAGAACCAAAACGACATTAGGAGGCTAACTGCTTTCATCTGCCTGGAGATGTTCACATTGCCGATTTCCTTTTAAGTAGTTAGAATTCAAGGTTGACTGAGAAGGAAACCATTTTAAAGCCACATTAAAAGAAATAACCATTAAGACCAAGTAGGAAAGCTCTGGCTCCCTGGCTCTTATATATATTGCCTTCCCTACTTGGATGAATTTCTTTGGGCATTGCTGAAACAGTACCACAAGTGTTAATGGTACCTCTGGAAAGGCTGAGAAGCAACTCCTGGGATTAGGTGGCATGAGCTGACAGCTCAAATAAAATGGATGAAATAGGCCCTGCTTACATTCATCTCTCCTTCTAATCAAATTCATCAAATGGTCCCTTCTTTCAATTCGGTAGAATGGAGGTAATTACCTGGGCTGCAATTTATTGCTAATGACCTGTCTCACAGTGTGTTTTCAATGGGGCCATTGGGAGGTATTTGTCTGGCTGAATATCCCCTCTCTGGTTTTGACCATCTCATTGACTTTTATAAAGAGGAAGGTGAGTTACACTTCCTCTAGGTAAGCATTAATGGGAACTGCTTATTACCTGGTGTTTGTCTTAGCATTTGTGAAGTTCCCACTAATTACAATTTTTGCTCTAGAGTGAAGGAAGTCATCTTTCTGTGTAATTATGATAATGGACCAAGAAAACATATCTTTGACTCTCTGCTAACACGTGGAGCCCTGACCTTTGGATAGCTCAAGAAATGGAAATTTTCAAATGGACATCTCATATCTTTAGTCTTTCATTAATTCTGCCCTTTTCTTACCTACACCTCTAGCTACATTGATATTGTCTGAAAGAAAACACAATATTGGCTCCATCTTTGATTTTGGACATAATAATCAAGTCAATGCTAACATTCCTTCTGGAAAGGTTATGTTAATTAATTTGCTGCCCTGTGGATCAACTCATCATCCCTCTGACTTCCTTTACCCAAATTCCATTCCCTGGCCATTCCTCACCTATAGGTATTGCCTCTCACTATTAGAATGGAAGCTCACTGAAGCCAGGGATTATTTTGCTTTTGCGTGAGTCCCCAACCATAGCATCTGGTTTCATTCATTCATTCATGAATTAGACTGAATTACGTCAGGAAAGGAAACATCTTTTCGGTCATCATGGTACCTAGTTCAGTACTAAGAGTAGACCCTTGTTGATTTGATGTAAAATGAAGCTGTTAGGTATGCACCACAGAGGAATTGTGGTACAGTTTATTCTTTAACATTTCCAAGATCAGTAATTGCATTGGTGGAGGTACTTCATATGCTAATGTAGGTTGCAACCTCTCCATGTCTTTGTGAATTGCCATAATAATAATAACAAAAAAATCACCCTGCAGCAAGCTGGGAATGAGCCTGTGTGAAGGTAGCGTGAATGATTCTTTTATGACAGATACACAGTCATCAGTTGGCCACACTGAACACTTTTCCAGCTTTATAAGACTCCAAAGGCTATCCTCTATTGTTATGGCCTTCAGGAACCAAGGATTCTCCTCCATGTCATAAGGAGGCATCAGGGTAGGGCTTCAATGGAGAATATATTTTAATGGAAATTAAATACTTTAGATAGCTTCCAAAGTAGAATCAGGTATACAGACTATTGCTATGGTTATTATATGAGGCAGCATGGTTTAATAGAAAGAATATTGGATTTGGAATCCGGAGATAAATTCTAGTCCAAGTTCTGCCGTAAGCCAACTGTGTGGGCTTGGGTCTACCCTTTTGCCTCTCTATGACCTTTTCCCTCATACTGAAAGAAAATAAGAGAGTTGGGCCAGGTGATTTCTTAAGTCTTCTAAGGTTCTATGATTTGAATGCTCTCAGTTAAGTAGGGAACTCAACTTGAAGACCACAGTTATGCCTTTTTACATGGCTAAACTTTAGGGTCTCTGATTTCTCTCTCATTTTATAGATGAAAACACCAAGGTCCAGAGAAAGGGGATGGTTTTTCCAGGATCAGACAGTAGCAAGTGGCAGATTTAGGTTGTTAACATGGGATGTAGGCAGACAGACCTGTGCCAAGACTTCTGCATTTTCCCTAAGATTCTCTTGGTGTCTGATCTAGTAAACGTTTGATCATTTCAGTTTCACTGATGGCATGACCCTGGGAGTCTGGCCTGAGGGAACTTGTAAGTTAAGAATGGAGGGGTTGATATCAAGCTCATAGAATCAAAGCCCTACAGCTGGAAAGGACACTAGAGATCTTAAGAATACAACTTTCTCATTTTACAGATGAAGAAACTGAGGCCCATAGAGTCTAAATGTTTTGCACAGGGTCATACAACTAATAAGGGCCCAAGGTGGGCTTTGAATCCAGGCCTTCCTAACTTCAGATCCAGCAGTCTATTCAGTATACTGTGCTGTCTTTCTAGCATAGTGGTAGTAGTGGCAGTGACCAAGGGTCAGTCTTTACAAATGGCTCATCTCATTCCCACTTCTCTCACTTACTACCTGTGTGAACTTGGGCAAATTACTCAGTCTTTCGGGACCTTGTGATCATATATCATTTTCCTTATCTGTAAAATGAGGGGATTGGATTCAATGGAACTTTTCAGGTCAAAGATCTTCCATACTCATTTAGGCAAACTGCCGTGCCTTAGAGAGACATTTGCTGTAGCTGATGAGCTAGTGCTAAGCCAAATGGTTGCTTTCAAATCATATGAATTGCCTTTGCTAGGTTTAGGTCCTATGGTTCTTACTTCAAAAAACCCAAACCTTCTGACAATGACCTGAATTCAGCAGCAGGGCAGGATGGCACAGGTAGCTGGCCACTCCATCTGGCACCAGGAGATCTCCAGGGAACACCTCAAGTCCAGGTAGGTTCACGACCACTGAACATCGCCTGTGCTGGTACAACCTGCACTCAAGACAGGAAAGAGGAGAGCTTAGTACTTGGCTTGCTGGTCCAGGCTTAGCCTGAATAAAAACAGATACAGTTTCTTTAGGAGAAATGACAACATAAATCAACCCTGCTTCTTTTGATTTAAAAGGGTATTTAAGATGAACCTAAATTATGCATATTTATGCAAATTATTGCAAATCACCCTGTGGATAAAAGCATGGTGGTATGATACTTGGATATCAATATTCCTAGAGCTGTTGTTTCTAGTAGCACATTTTATGGAAAGAAAACAGATAAACACCATTAGAGATATTTATGCCATAAGAGACAGTTATGTTCTTCTCGTTTCCAATCACTCATAGCTCTTGAATTGCCCTTAGTAATAAATTCACAAAAAAAAGAGAATGGCATATTTAAGAAATCGAGTGGATAATACTGAAAGACAATTGAATATTGTCCTGGTGACCTGTTGGCTAACTTCCATCACTCCCAGATTAAGAGGGACCCATTCACTCTGTAAAGTGCCAGCTGCCTTGGCGTCTTGAGTGTTTTTCTGGCCTTTAGGGTGTAGTGAAGGCTGCTCAGGCCTACTAAGGTATTTCACTGGCTCAGTTACAATGCATCGAAACTGGTCTCTCTAAGCGGTACAAATTCTTCCTATTCATCAGGATCTCAGGAAATTACTTTTGAGGGTTTTTTCCTATGATTTTCAGATTTACTCCAAAGAAATAACTTCATGAACCCATGTGTGTAAGAGATGCTGACTGATAGCCCTCACACAAGATTGTTCTAGGAGATGCTGTCCCAGACTGTGTAGGATGAAGACATTAATCGCTCTTTGTTGTTCAGTTGTTTTCAGTCATTTCAGACTCTTTGGGACCCCAGTGGGTGTTTTCTTGGCAAAGATACTGGAGTGGTTTGCCATTTCCTTCTCCAGCTTATTTTACAGATGAGGAAACTGAGGCAAACAGGGTGAAGTGACTTGTTCTGAATCACACAGCTAGTAAATGTCTCACTTTAGGGTAATAGATTTAGACCTCAATGCACCCTTAGAGGTTAGATAGTTTAACTTTCTTCAGTTAACAGATGAAGCAACAGAGGTGCAGGGAAACTGAGTGATTTACTCAAAGTCTCATGCGTAGTCATGGATAGAGACAGAGTCTGAACCCAGGTTCTCTATCTCAAAATTCAATGGTCCTCCCCCCAAAAAAAATCCCTCACTTCCTCTGACGAACTTCTGACTAAAGGACTATTTTTTTTGGGGGGGGATAAACTTTTGTCTCTTGGTTTGAAGATACTGGAATATTTAGTAGAATAAGACCAAGATTTTGAATCAGAAGATTTCAGTCCAAATTCCAGCTCATCTAACTTAACTGCCTGTGATGTCTTGGTAAACATTTCATCCCTCTGGTCTTTAAAGAGAGAGGCTTCAGTAAAGAGGACAAGTGTGTGTAGGAGAGAGGCTGGGGAGAAGTCAGGTTACGAGGAGTTGGAAAGAGAGGGAATGGTGAGGAAGTGGGAGTACTGAATGCAGACAACGTTTTCAAGATTAGCAGTGAAGGACAGTAGAGGAACGGATTAGTGGTGAGTGGGGTGGGGGCAGGGCTGTGTCGCTACGAGTACCCAGTAGACTTTCAAGGGTGAGCATCACTCTCTCTTTCCTCTGTTCTGAACATGTGACTGGGATTCTTAACAGTTGTCTCTTACGATTCCCATGAAGGGAGGGAGGAGGTTTCTCTTTCTTATCCTTTCCCCCAAATCCCCAGCTATGGTAGCTGTTCAGACATGGCAGTGAGACCATGTGTTTTTCTAGGTGAGCATGAGACTGTATCCCAAAATTCTAGCATCCTCTTCTAATAAATAGCATTTATGTAGTGCTTTCAAGTGTGCAAAGCACTTGACATATAGCAACTCATTTGTCTTTCTTTCCCTGAGCTCAGGACACTGATCTGTACTCTTGAAAGAGAGAGTTTTCAGATTTGACGACTACCTTGAGTGTTTGGGAATTCAAGGGCTCCTTTCTTAGTGCTGGCTGACTTTCAGGAGGTAATCCTTGCAGCTACTACAATGCTTCTCAGATAAGATGATCCCCCAAAGGAGGCTGAGCCCAAGCCATGACCAGACTGGCTAGAAGACATGGACCTTGACGGAGTTGCTTGAATAGCGCCCAGCAGTGGTGAAGTTGAAATGCCTGTTCAGCAGTTCCAAAAAGTGTTTCATGTTTTGATGTATGATCCTGGGCAAGCCATAACTTCTCACAGCTCAATTTCCTCACCTGTTAAATGGAGATGATAATAATAGCCCCTACCTAAGAGTGGTTGTGAGGATGAAATGAAGTAAAGTATACAAAGTATTTTGCAAATGTTAAAGTGTTACATAGAGGCAGCTAGGTGGTGCGGTGGCTGGAGTCAGGAGGACTGGAGTTCAAATTTGGCCTCAGACACTTAATAGCTGTGTGACCTTGGGCAAGTCACTTAACCTCAAGTGCCTCAAAAAAAAGGGCTATATAAATTCCAGTCATCATTGCCACCATCATCATCATCATCATCAGTCTCCTGAGTTGACAGGAATTATGAGTTATTGTGTCATGTTTTAAGTATTTGTCAATGTGTGTCTTTTGTATTTTAATAAATTGTTTTGTAGTTGAGGAAATAGATAGCCAAGTCTAAGCCATACCTAAGCAGGCATCTACTAAAAAAGTCATTGACCAGCTTCTGTTCGAAGTCATCTCATCCTGTGAAGGGGAGCCCTCAGAACAGAGGAAGAAGAGAGTAATGCTCACCCATGAAAGTCTACTGGGCACTCTCAGCAACACAGCCACACGCTCCCCAAACCATCCATTATTCTTTTAGACTAATCTTAGTTATTAGGAAGCATGTCCTTACATTGAAATTACATCTTCCTCTCAGCTGCCTTCATTGCTTCCTTGCCCTATTTCGAAAGACCATGAAGAATGGGAGAAGTGTCTCAGAAGTGGAAAAGGGAAAATGTTGCCTTATTTAAAAAATACGGAAATAAAATAATATTTTAATGGACATAAAAAATATAGGAAAATGAGCCTGAATTTGATTCCTGGAAAAATTATAGTTTTTTAATTATTAAAAGGATGGTTTCTGAGAATTTAGAAAAGGAAGTGATGATCACAAAACACAACACAGGTTCTTTAAAAGAACAGGTCATGTCAGACTAATCTCCCTTCCTTTTTGGACAAAGTTAGCAGACTGATTCATCAGGAGAATCAATCAGTCATGAAGAGAAAGACATGGATATTTGGGACTGTTTAGAAGAAATTGTCTCAGACTTTGCTGGCTGAGGTTGTACAGGGAGATGGAGTAAACTGTGAGTAAGAAATAATGGCCTAAACAGAGAAAGGCTTTGGTTATTGGTTCTGGCTAGAAACCCCCTATAGATCACAATTCTGCTATTCCCAATGTTAGAATTGCTATAGAAATGAAAAATTTTAAAGGTTTCACAGAGTAACTCAATGAATTTAGAGACAGAAATATATTTTTTTGTTTCATCCTTCCCTTTGATTTTATCAGTACAAGGAGTTTCTGGGAAAAAAACTCCCTCTACCAACAAAACTGGATTTAGATCCTGACAATATCATAGAGCATAAGTGTCAGACACATGGTCTGCAACACTCCCCAGTGTCTCCAACTGGATTAAAATATAATTGGGAAATGTTTAACAAGATAAATAAAAATACAAAACAGCATACATAATGTTGGTTCACAGTTTTCTAAGTCAATCTGCAGCCTAGACACCACTGCCTTAGAGATCATCTAATTCAATCCTTTTTCAGAGGGGAAACAGAATTTATGTGACTTGCCCAAGGTCACTTGACTTGACAGTCAATTGACTGAGTTGGGATTCAAACTCAGGTCTTGTGCTGCAAATGCATGGTTCTTTCTAGTCTGCCACATTTCTAATTCTGGATATATTAGTTGCCCAGTGGCTTTCAATATAGATTAGTAATCCATCCATGAACAATGTGTAAGATAGTGGGGGAGTAGTTCTTGTTACCTCTTGATACTTGCCTATTTCATAGGGGTACTGGGATAGGAAATCAATCAATCAATAAGAACTGATTAAGAGCTTACTATGTCCCATGCACTGTCATAGTACTGGAGAAACAAACACAAAACTGAAACATTTCCTTTAGGAGTTTACATTCTATAGTGAAGAAAGTATGCACATATGATCATAAGATTCCAGGTCCATGGCCCTCAGGTACCTTAACGGCCATCTATTCTACCCCTTGACTTACAATTGAGAAAACTGAAGTCTGGAGAAGTTAATAGAAGGACCGGCATTTTAGAATATCTCAAAGGACCAAGCTACATTGATTGACACATTTTTAAAATGTATAAGGCAAAGAAAGAGATAGTATGATGGAAGTTTTTATTTCAAAGTAAAATTATAGTATCTGTGTGCAATTATTTGCATTTAAAGGATTTTGCACAGGTAAAATACATTAACAAAAAAAATTTTTTTTGCAACAATTGACATGCCTGGTCCTCTTCTGTTAAGTGACTTGCCCAAGGTCATGCAGGCATCATGCATTAAGGAGCAGGATTTCAATCCAGGTCTTCTGTCTCCAGAGTCAATGCTCTCTCTCTCTCTCTCTCTCTGTGTCTCTTTCCCTCTCCCTCCCTCCATACATACACACTTACCATACTTGCACACATATGTACAAATATACATATATATAAGCACACACATATACTATCTTTCCATACATACTCACATACATACAAATATACACATGTATACATATATAGTGTGTGTGTTTATATATATAGTATCTATCAATATATCCATCTATGTATCCATCTATCCATCTGTCTATCCATCTATCCATATATACATACATATACATATATACACAAAATAAAAACAAAGTAATTTGGGGGAATAGGACATCAGTTGGGAAAGAATCAAGAAAGGATTCAAGTAGTTGGTGTTTCAAGCAGTATCTTGAAGGATACTGGTTCTTAGAGGAATGGGCTGATCATTTTGATCAAATGCTTGGAAACATCCAACGAAAAACACCAATACAAAAACAAAATCTTCATTCTCTCTTATTTCATTTTGGTTGGAAAACTTAACTAAGAACCTGGTCTTTAGGACTCAATTTTGGTGTTCCCATCCCACTTCTCATACTTACTAGCTGTGTGATCCTAGGTAAGCCCCTGCATATCTCTGAACCTCACTTTCTTCACCTCTAAAATGAGGCATTAGCCTAGATGGCCTCAGAAGTCCCGGCCAGATCTAATTCTATGCCATGGATCAAAACAGGTCCTAAACCTGAGCAAGGCTCCCAGTTGTCTGGGCTTTCAGTCATGCCCCAGTTCTCAGATGAAACCCCACTCTTGCCTGTTGCTCACAGATACAAACATAGCCCCCGTCCACTGACCCTGAGTTGTGCTGCAGGGCCACTGACAGATCAGAGCGGACAGTTCCCATGCTGCCGGTCGGGATCTCTTGGTCTCTGTCCCAGAGTCACCAGCTTCTCTTTTCCTTTCTGTCCTTTGCTGAAACATGTAAACTCTGATGTGTGGGTGGGTGACTGTGGCAATTCTGGGAATCCAGGGAATGTTTCCCCACCCCTGACCAAGCACACACACACACACACACACACACGCACAGAGTGAAAGACATCACTTGAGGGTCAGTAACAGAAAGTAACTCTCATCCCACCCTACAATACCTTTAACCAAAATATATGGCCCTCAAATACAATTAATAAGGCAGGAATTAGTCCTTGTAGATATTTTCCAAATAAAATTATGGAAGGAGAAAATGTATGGTAAAGGAAAGGGCATTATGTGCAATGAAATGAACTCTGGGTTTGAAGTCAAGAGGACCTTAGTTTTGAACCATATCTCCCTTCCTCTGCCTCAGGTGTCCATGGGCCAGTCATTTCGCTCATATGGAGGTCAGCTTCTATATCTGTGAAGTGAGGGGGTGTTGGACTAGATCAGGAGTTCTTAACCTGGGGGTCTTTGGACAGATTTCAGTGGGTCTGTGAATTTGCATGGGAAAAAAATTACATCTTCATTTTCACTAACCTCTCTTTAAAATCAAGCATTTTTTTCCATTATGAATGTAGGCAATACACATCATTCCAAGAAGGGGTCCCCTAAGTTTCACCAGATTTACAAGGAGGAGGATTCTGACACGAAAGGGTTAAGATGCTATGGATCAGATGATCTCTAAGGTCCCTTCTAGGTCCATGGGGGTGCTGGATACAGTTCAAAGTAGCTTGGGAGAGTCAAATGTTAAATTTTTCAGTGTGAGCATTTATACCTTGGAAATCAGCAAATGCTACATATCAGCGCTTGATTTACTTGATGGTCTTAAGAAAGTGATGGAGAAAAATGTTTATAATTCAGACTCTAGCTGGACATTGAAGAAAGAATTATTTAAATTGTTGGAGAAATGGAGAGAATACACATACATAGAAGTGGGAGAGGGCTGGATGAGATCAGAGAAGAGCTAGTAGAACTAGACTGGATGGAATACAGGGTGAATAAGAGTATGAATATAAGAATAGAGAGACACAGATTGAAAATAAGGCCAGGCCTACAGTATGTTGTTCAGTTGTTTCAGTCAAGTTCCACTTTTTGTGATCCCACATGGGATTTTCTTGTCAAAGATTGGCAAATTCCTTTTCCAACTCATTTTACAGATGAGGAAACTGAGGCAAACAGAATTAAGTGACTTGCCCAGGGTCACTTAGCTAGTAAGTATCTGAGGCCACATTTGAACTTGGGTCTTTCTGATTTCAGGCTCAGGTACTCTATCCACTGTGCCACCTGGAAGGGGACTTAGGTAACGAGAGCAGGACCTTTCAAAAGGAAGAAAATGACGTGAGAGATAATGGAAAGAGAAGATTGACCTGACGAGACAATTGACTGGACAGATGGAGGTGAGGAATAAGGAGGAGTTAAATATGAATGACATTTTGAGCCTATGTCACTGGATTTTAATTCAATAAGTAGTTGTGAAATGTATATTATGTGGTAGACATTGCATTAGGCATTACATATACAAAGACATTAATGAAACAGCCTCTGTTCTCAAGGATCTTTTTTTTTCTACTGGGGGTGGGGTCAAGGAAAGGAAAGATGGTTAAATGACATGACTAAGGCTGTACATTTTAATTTAGGCCATTTAGATATTTATATACAAAATTATATATAATATTCCATTTTGACCAATAAGTTCATGCAAAGACTATATATTGTTATGGTCAAAGTTTTGTCTATTACAAATATAGCTAAATCTAATTTTAAAAGTGGTGTGGGGTATAGGGGGAAACTGTGCTGGATTTGGAGTCAGGAATCTAGAAAAAATATTGACTATTCACATATCATCTGTATGACCCTAAGTAAGTCACTTAACCACACTCAGACCTTATTCCTACCTCTCCCTTTCCCCTCCTGTAAAGTGAAGGCGCAGGATTCAAAAACTTCCAAGGTCAATCAATAACTCAATAAACATTTATTAAGTATTTGCTTTTAATATTTCTGCTTTTAACTATAAAATTTTTATGTGTTAATATATGATCAGTCTTTGTAAAGGCACCATGAACCACTGAGAAAAAAGGTGTATTCCTTTCTACTCCATTCAATTCTCTGCAGATATCTATCATATTTGACTTATCCAAAATTCTATTCACTTCCTTGACTTCTTTCTTATTTTTTTGTTAGATTTATCTAGTTCTGAGAGGGGAAAATTAAAGTACCCTACTGTTACAATACTACTATCTATTTTTACCTGTAATTCATTTAACTTTTCTTTGAAAATTTAGATGTTATATTATTTGGTACATATAGGTTCAGTATTGGTATTGCTTCATTGTCTATGGTACCTTTTAAAAAATGTAGTTACCCTGTTTATCTTTTTTAATTAAATCTATTTTAGCCATAGCTTTGTCTGAGATCATAATTGCCACCCCTGCATTTTTTGCATCAGATATGGGTCAGCTATAGAGTGGTGGGCCTGGAGTCAGGAAGACCCATCTCCATGAATTCAAATCCAGCCTTGGACAATTACTAGCTGTGTGATCACGGGCAAGTCACTTCACTATGCCTCAGTTTCCTCATCTGTAAAATGAGTTGGAGAAGGAATGGCAAACTATTCCAGTATCTCTGCAAAGAAAACCCCAAAGGGGGTCATGGAGAGTTAGGCATGACTGAAAGGAACCAAAAGTGTCTACTATGCATCTCCCTCTCTGGGAATACAAACAGAAGAGAGATCATGCAAGCCCTCAAGGAATTTACCTTCTACTAAGGAGCTTCAACATGTCAAGAGATTAGTAGTAGATTACAACATGTAGGCATAGGGGATAGAGAGTGGACGTGGGATATCATTGGCATAGAGAATTCCTAGGTGAGTAATCTCCCTCTACTAATGAAGATCAGTATTTTCTCTGCAACTCGTATTAGAAAACTGTCTAGATCACTGAAAAGTCAAATAACTTGCCTAGGGTCACATAGCCAGTATGGGTCAGAGGGAGGATTTGAATCCAGGTCTTACTGACTCTACACCACACTGCTTCTAATATAGGATATATACAAAATCAACCCAAAGTGATTTGGGGAACAGGGGTAAGGCATTAGCACCTGGGAATATCAAGAAAGGTCCTTTTACCTTCAAATATGTGATCATATACATTGTTCTTTACCTGAAGAAAGATACAGATATTATTATGAATGTTGCAGATAGAAATTTCAGCTCTCAAAGGGCCTCTAGAGTTAGCAGCTATATCGCTCAAGCAATGAACTCTCCCAACATCACCAGCAAGCAAGGAAAAGTCCATCTGTTCAGAGAAGGTTTTCAGAGGTACCCAGGAAACTAATGCCTGGGTCAAACTTTAAGGTTGGTCCCTGCTTTCCCTTTTCACCTCTTTCCTCCTCCCTCATCCTACTTCCCCAGGAGCTCATTTCTCTTAAATTATTTTCTGATTATCCAGAGCTCCACCCTGCCTTCCCTTTCCTGGAACCAAAATTCCCAGTCTTTAGTAAATTCACTTGGAATTGTGAAAGAAAATCACCCTTCTCAGGTGACATTTGCATTTTAAAGAAGTCTGTTAAACTAATGCTTAAGCTGGAAACCCCCTACCTTGCACACTATTTTTTGCTTTCCTAGGACTAGCCTAGGTAAGTACCTAAAAGCTACATGGTTTAGGATTGCAGATTTAGAGCTGGCAGAGGTCATATAGCCCAACTGCCTCATTATATAGATGAGGAAACAGAGGTTCACCTCAGAGAGGTGAAGAGTTTCCCTAGTTTCATGTGGGAGGGAATTATGAGAAGTAGAATTTGGACCCATTAATTTCAAATCTGTTTTTTGCTGCTGGAGGGAGGATCATTACTCATTGGGTGCCTACTTGGAGATGAATTCTTTCACTACAGTAATCTATAAAACAAATCTATAAAACAAAAAAAGAATAGGCAGCCTAGTCTGGATCTCAGGTGGACTTAAACTAGAAGGGACCTGAGAAGTCATGAAGTCCAACCCCCATATTTTACAGATGAAGAAACTGAGGCTCATAGAGATTAAGTGATTTGTCCAGAGTCACAAGTTACAGATGTGGGATTTGAATCCAGGTCTTTCTGATTTCAAAAATCAGTGATCTATCCCAGGCTGCCTCTCAAAATACTCAGTTGCATAGGTTAGGAATCATACCTGGATCAACTGCTTGGAAGGCAGCTTTGCTCACTACTATACCACCAATACTACAAGCTGTTGTCAAGAATGTACTTGGAAGGGCAGCTAGATGATGCAGTGGATACAGCACCGGCCCTGGAGTCAGGAGGACCTGAGTTCATATCTGGCCTCAGAACTTACTAGCTGTGTGACCCTGGACAAGTCACTTAACCCAAATTGCCTAAAAAAACAAAACAAAACAGAATATGCTTGGAAAATTGCTCTGGTGTTGACTGTCAAATGCTTCAAAGAAATAAAAAAGAAGTGGGATTGAGAAAAAGTCATTAGATTTGGTGATTAAGAGATCACTGGTAATTTTGGAGAGAGAGGTTTCAGGTGAATGAGGAGGTTGGAGGTCAGACTGCAAAGGATTGAGATGAGAGAAAATGGAGGCATTGAGTATAGATGGCTTTTACAAGGAATTTAGCTGAGAAGTGGAGGGAGATATAGGATGATAGGTTAGCAGAGAAGGTAGGATTTGGTGAGTTTTTTTTTTCAGGATGAGGGAGATATATATGTGTAGGAAAGGAACTGATAGGGAGAGATTGAAAATTAGAGAAAGAAAGGGAATGATAGTAGGGGCAATCTGCTAGAGAAGGGATCAAGATTTCATATAGAAGAATTAGCCTTGGTGAGAAGGGCCATCTTTTCATCAGGAATAAGTAGGACGTGATGTCAAGGGGATGCTAGATGAGAAGGAGAGAAGAGCTAGGCCTGGTGATTGGCTTTGATTTTCTGGATAAAGCATAAGATAAAACCCTCAGCTGAGGGAGTAGATGATGGGGAGG